TAGTGGCTTACAATGTTAGAAGCATTATTTTTGTTCAACCTTCATAATATATTACTGTATGCCTGTGTACTGTAAATTTTGTTCTAATATGTTGGTTGCACAGCAGATAAAACAGCATGGAATTAATGGAAGAGTGATCTACCTATTTATTGTTACCCTTTCAGTCTAGAAAGTTTTGGGTAAATAGCTGGTTTTGTTCCATCCTTCTGAGTGTGGGTGCATGTACCCACACAATAGACAGAGCTTCCTGATGCTTAAAGAAATAACAGAACCAGAATGAAATGTGAGAATTGCAAATGTCATTAATTTACATAATTTAACTGTTTACAGAACACACATTTCATAGGAATAGGATTTAGCATATCAATATTTTTTTAAAAAATATGCATACCCTGAAACAAGTACCAATGCATTCATTCTGCATATAACTAACATCATAATCCTATGCACAATTTCCTATTAGAAAGATTCACTGTGTGCAGAACATTGCACTGAAAAGTTCTGCAAGAATTACTCTTGCAGATGGGAACAGGAGAACAGCTATAGTAAAAGAACAGAACAGCTCAGTAAAACCCCTACTGCACATCTTGTGTACCTTTAAGCTCCAAACCCTATACATTCAGAAAGATTATCAGTTGTAAGACTTTCTAGCAGAAAGAGCAACCATTTCATTATTCATAGATGAACACAAAGAGTTTGGCATATGGACATTCTATAATTATATGTGAAGAGATGTACTTCAGCTGATGATCAAAATCTTGAGTGATCACTTTAAATATTCCAAATCCATCTTTTGTACACTGGGTGACAGTGATGACTCTGCTATTGTCATTCATATGAAAGTCAGTAGAACTGAGAAGCAAACCAGCTTTTCTTTTGTATATACAGAACCTTGATGAATTATATTTTCTCCAAGAGAACATTTGCAAAAGTTATTGACAAAGTTCCTGCATTACATTAAATGCAAAAACAATTAATTGCTTTCAAACCTTTGTGTATAAGTAGGCTCCCTGACTTTCAGCTTAGAGGTTTGAGGAAGGAGAGGAAGAATTTATTCCAACTTTAAAAAATAGAGCCATGCTGATATAGCTAGCTAACTAGCTAGCTAGATGATAGATAGATAGATAGATAGATAGATAGATAGATAGATAGATAGATAGATAGATAGATAGATAGATATCACATTAGAAACACTAATGTGCATTGTCTGAAAGTTGATTAAGGCTCGTTTTTATGGAAAATGGTTGATTTAAAAAAAAGCATGCAGACAGTATGAAGAATGGTAGCTGTGAGTCCAGGAGGACCACCAAGATGTGCACTAATCTTGACTGGGGATGTGCTACCCCTCCATAACCAAAGGTGAAAACTTCCCCAACCCAGGGAGCCCAAACAGGCATTCAGTTTTGTCAGGGAGTTGAAGTCTGTTCCTCCCATCTAGACCTGAACAGCCTCCAGGCACTGGGTCACTACATTGACAGCTTCACCTGTGCAACCTGAGGTTGAGATGCACAATTAAGTATTATCTGCATATTGTTGATACTGAAACCTGAACTGATGGATGATTTCACCCAGTGGTTTCATGTAGTTATTAAATAGAAGGGATGAAAACATGGAACCCTGAGCCACCACACAAGTGAGGAGCCATGAGCATGATCTCTCCATTCCTGTCAACACAGACTGGGACCACTGAGAAAGGAGATGGACCACTGCAGCACAGTGTCCCACCCTCTAACCTCTACAACCACTCCAAAAGGATACTATATGAAAAGCTGCTGAGAGATCAAGGAATAAAAGCATAGGTATACCACCCCCATCCTCTACCACAGGTCATCTACAAGCATGACCAAGGCTGTCTTGATATTATATCTTGGCCTGAAACTCAGCTGGAATGGATCCAGATAATTTGTTTCCTTGAAGATGCTCTGCAATTGGTATCCAACCACCTTCTCAACCACCTTCCCCACAAAGGGAAGTTTGGAAACTGGACAATCTGTCCAGAGCGGAGGGGTCCAGTGATGGCCTCTTGAGAAATGGGCACACCATCACCTCCTTCAAGGCTGGGGGAACTTCCCCCTCCCTCAGAGAGGCCAATGCTATCACATGGACCCACCCACAAGTCACTCCCAGGCTATATTTATTGGTTGAAGGGAAGCATTATACTCATTTTTTCCCCCATTACTGAGCTACATTACATATCACAACTATTCCATGCCATTAATATGGATGTTCTTACTACATTTAAATACCCATTATAGCATCAAAGCTATGGTAGGATAAGAAGGCATCATATTGGTGTTCTGAAAAGACAGCATCCAGAAAAACCATTACAAGTTCCTCAGGAATTTGTTTCATTTTTAGTACTCTGCATTGCTCAAACCTTACTGTTAGCCGTCTAGCCTACTGATTCAAAAGGCAGCAAAATCTATTATAATTAGACTGCATTCGTATGTATGTATGTATGTATGTATGTATGTATGTATGAATGTATGAATGTATGAATGTATGAATGTAAAGGGGAAATAATACAACTCTTTCTATACCCTAGGAAAACTTCCTTTATGGGATTGGCACTTTGGGTATGATTTATATGATAGTAACAACACATTCAAGAAATTATTTCTAGGGATATGGCACATTAAAACAAAACATTGCAAGGCCCTCAACCAGCTGTCCAGTAGACAGTGGTGGTGCTGCTGGTAATGGTGGTGGTGGTGGTGATGATGATGATCATTTTCCATACGCATGAGATGAACTAATCCTGTAGTCCAGTGAGGCCATGAAACTTGAGTATATCATGGGAAGCTAAGCTAATCAACTATCAGTTCAGCTCCTGATCCTACAAAGACAGTTGCCCATTAGTGGGACCTTTCTCTCTCGCCTAGTATTTTCTCCTCCTGTAGCAAGGTGCTGCAGTATCCTTCTATCATTCCCCCATCACCATGGAAGCAGCCAGTAACTTATGGAAGTGGCCATAGAAACATTTTTAGCACCAAGTTTGTAATGGGCTGTGAGAATAATCTTGGGAGACAGGAGGAAGTGCCACAGCCTAGAAAATGGTCTGATAAAAAAAAATCTTAGTCTGAAGGAGGGGCAGGGGTGGAATAAGCCTTTCAGAAGGGACCCTCCCTAGTTCTCTGGAAAGTAAAGGCAGGAGATGGGGGAAGTGCTTTTAGATTTGCAAGATTGTGTTACTGTGACCTTACAATAAAGGTAGCATTAATACTAGTGGTTTTGGTTTCCTGTCTGGACTACCTCAAAGGGCTGACTTAATCTTGCAAGTTTGAAAGCACTTCCCCCCTCCCCTGCCTTTACTTTCCAGAGAACTAGGAAGATGCTTCTGAGATGCTTTCTCCACCCTCATCCCTCCTTTGGACTCAGATTTCATTTATCATGCCATTATCTAGACTGCAGCTCTTCCTCCTGTCTTCCATGGTTATTTTCATAGTCCATTACAAAGTTCCAGGCATGAAACAACAATACTTTCAACAATAGTTTTCTCAATAGAGAATAAGTTACACCAGCCCTCTTAATTGTCCCACAGATAAATAAAATGCACTCCTTCTGATTCTTTCTATGATGTTGAAAATCTAATGCTGTTTTAATGTTTCTGAAAAGAAATACTACATTATACATGTAATGTACTATTTACATCTGATATGGTTTTAATAAAACCAGCTGAAAAGCATTATGCTACAAAAATATACCAAAAAGCTACATTTAGTAAATATTTATGGTCAATTCAGCGTGATATTATTTTTTAACTGCTAACAATATTCATACAAAAAATTCTTATAAACTGAAGTGTCAATCTACATTGTAAAAGAGAAAGTAAACAAGTAAAAAAAAAGTGACATGATGTTTATAAATTATTAGTTTTTCCATATTGTCTACAAAGGTCCATTTATTTTCATGACCTATATTTTAATTGAATCTCTTTTTCATCAGTTGGGGAAAAACACACAAACCAAAATCTGAAGTTGTTAACTGATGAATATTTTGAGAATGCTGTAAATACTAAAGACCTATAAAATTAAGATAAAAGCTGAGCAGGACACAAAAGTTCTCTGATGTGGTTTATAGGAAGGTCTATGATCAATAAATACTTAGTATTTTATATCTATGTACTATTTACATATTAAACATAACAAGTATATGGGCTAAGGGAGTCAGGACTGAAGCTGGAGGGGCAGAAATAAGCAACTCCCAGTCTAGAGAAAGCTATTATTTAAATATATCTCAGTCGCCTGTCAGCCTTGGAGGGTAAACACAACCAGACGAGCTAATTCTACTTTAATGTAAAGCTACACTGACAGAATCTTGTAAGTCTGAAAGTACAATTCTCTCCCTATCTCTTCTACAGCCCAAGAAACTAAGGAGGGTCTCTTCTGAGCTTCTTGCCCCACCCACTATCCAGCTGTGGACTATGCTGTGTCTTATCTGACTGCTCCCTTGGCAGCATCTCGTTGCCCAGTCTCCCAAGGTCTTTCCCATATATCATTACATCACCTCCCAAACCATCAAGTGACCAGCCAACTATCTGTTAATTTAGAAGGGCAGGAGGAAGCAGGTTAGAGTTTAAACCCTGGAACACAGGTATATAAAGTCTTAGACATTTTTATGCTGCAGCGAGTAATCAAGTATTGTGTTTGAAGCTCCATTACTGCCTGCAATAAAGATACCAATTTAGCCTAGTCATGCCTGGGAGACTTCTGCCAAGTCTAGCTAAGAGCTGAATTAAGGGTTAAGTGTCTGGAGGTGTGTGATTTACTGCCAGCCTGGGTGTGAAGCCTGACAAGAATCCACTCAAGGGTCTGATAAATCAGATTTTGCAATTTGCATGCAACTGCAAAAATGAGACTTGTCTGTGCTGAATATCTGACAGATCAGGATATATGGCTGGGCACTGTTGAGTCTGCTGATTGTAAGCTTGTGCTGCACAATTAGTGGTGGCTCAATGTAGATGCAGAATGAATGAATTCAATTAAAATGCTTGTACTTACAGGGTCAGTGAGTTCTGGCAAACTAGCTTGATAAGTGAGTGGCCGGCAGTCGCGAGTATTAAAAACTAATATACATGGAAGGAACATTGGTCCAAGGTCATCCCCATCAAGGACATCAACAGTGAGGGTGCTTGTGCTTGTTCTTCGTTCCCCAAGATTTTGAGCTCGATCCTGTGTAGAAAATAGAATTTTTAAAGACTAATCCTGCAATTCCTCCAGAGAGATGATGTATTTCAATAAAAATATTTATCTTGGTGTCATCTCACAACATGCAATCTCAAAATGTATCCTGTGATGTTCTTGAAACGTTAGGTGGATGGAAGTAAGGAACTGCCAGACTCCAGATAGCACCAGGTGGCAGTAGGAGTTGGACGGGAGGTTTACTTTCTTTTTCAAATCAGGTGACAAGTTAGATTTGTTTTTATTTCTTCCTGTCACTACTTTTCTTCTCTATCATAGCATATATATCCTTCCCTCCATTACTTTAAGTATACCTCACTCTCTACCTCTCCCATTATATATTTATTCCAAGATACTCATCACTTCTCTACACTTTCCCTTTAAGCCTCTTTCTCCTTTCCTTGTATCCCAAATTATTCAACTCCTTAAATTGCTCTGGGAGATGTTAGCTGACATCACACACAGATACACAGGTAAAATGTGCTTGAGAGAGTGTTGAATGCAGAATCTAACTTTTAGTGACTCTGTAATATCTCTGGGAAATAAAGCTAATTATCCAATAGCAAAGAAATCTAGTAGCAGCCATGCAAGAAACCCAACTTTCAAAATGCCAAGAGTTTTCTCCCTCTCCCCTGGAATATTTGAGGACAGGAACAAATAAAAGAGACTTCATGATTAAATTTTCTTTTTGTAAATTTGAGCCCAATAAGTATTGTTTTCTTCACAGAACTACATGGGAGTTAAATCCCCTTTATTTCAACAAAACTTTCTATATCTTTAATTATTGATTCATTTATCAGTCAGCCCTGATAAACATACTCCATCTATTCTGCTTTCTGGCAAAAGAAATAATCAATTCTGTTGCTTTTCAAACAGAAAAGACTAAGTGCTCTACAGGAAAAAAAATGAACTCAGACCAATGCAAATGGTACACCAACCTTACTCAAGATTGTAGGAAGATTATCATACTGCAGAGAGTCTTAATTTGATATTTGCCTGCCATTTCTGCTTTTTAGCCTTCTTATGACTGAGGAACTGTAGTAAAATATAATTACTGCATGTTGTTATAAACAGATTGTTTTGGAATGAGAGCTACAGCTTTGTCCTTGGTAACTGAACAGCTGAGGAAGGGAAATCTGGTTCACGGAGACATCCACATGTATTATTCCAAAATTCTTTAAGTTTCTCTTGGATCAATTGGAAATTAAAAACAAGGAAACATTAGACTGGAGAAAGTTTAAAGTCTCCAAACTCGCTATACTCAGAAGCTGGGTGGAAGCAAACCGCTCACCCTAGGAAGGATAAGGCATATGGCAAATGAAGTTCCCCAGGGGACACAAGAATCTGACAAACATTAAAAAGCTAGATGGAGGGAAATCAAGCAGCAGCAAGTAAGGCACTTAGAGAGGTTAACAGCAAAGGAGCAGGCAATGAGAACACCAGTGCAAATTAAACTAAAACTGTGGAGAGAACTGGAAATAGGTGTAAATATTCAGGCCTGGCAGGAGCCAATCATGATACCCATCAACAATATTCTGATCACACTTCATCCTCCCTCAGCACTTGCTCTTTCCCATCCCATTCTCTGCCCTCACCGTGTCATACCCAGTGAATGGGGGAGGAGGAAGGGAGGGTTGATTGGAGTTGAGACTTAGAATTGTAGTTATAGACTTAGAAGGAACTATTGAGGTAACTGGTTGGAGCTTCTGTGAGATGTAGTTCAGCAATATGGAATCAGAGCAACAAGAGGGTTGGAAAAGGGCCTTTTAGACTACCAATTCTAACTGCTGCTCAGCGCAGGAATTCTAATTAAAGAATGCTTGAGCGATATGGTCCGGTTGCTGCTTGAACACATTCATTGTTGAATTGCTCTTTACTTCCCTATAATATTCAACCAGAATCTATCTTCTGGAAATTCAAATCCTTTAATTTACGAATGTTGGAGTAGGAATGCTACAAAGTTGGACCATTCCTTTGTAGTAGGAATGCTACAAAGTTGGACCAAGTAATCTGTACAATTCAGAGGTGAAGGGAGTACTTACTAGCTCTGCTTGCATATTTAGCACTAATCATAAATCAACATTTGATTTGAAGAAAGTGTTATTTTTCAGGGACAAAAAAGGGTTTTCAGACTTGACACAAAAAAGGAGTTGGGAGCAGTTGCCGGTAAGCGCGAAAAACCGCGCGCGCCCGAAAAGGGCGCGAAGCAATGGAAACCCCGCCTCCTGCGCTCGCCAGCCGGGCTCTGCCCTAGGAAGGAGGCTCTGGCAAACCACTTCCGAAAAACAGTTGCCTTGAAAACTGCAAGGACTCGTCCAAGCAGTCACTGCCTTGAAAACTGCAAGGACTCGTCCAAGCAGTCACTGCCTTGAAAACTGCAAGGACTCGTCCAAGCAGTCACTGCCTTGAAAACTGCAAGGACTCGTCCAAGCAGTCACTGCAGGGTCAGCAATGACTGAGCGCAGACAAAAAAAAAAAAAAAAAAATTATAAATAGGTTATTTATTCTAAACCTGCATTTCGTGTATTTATGTTATTGGTCTGGAACTGTAATAAAGTAAGTTACTTTATTATATAATGTGTTATAAAATTGCTTCCTACAAAAATATATGCAACTGGACCTAATTAGGTAAAATGCCTTCCAAAGGTTGCACTTCAAAGCTGAATAATACTGGTAAATGAAATGAAATTAACACCACACAAAATTACTATTTATGTCAGAAAGGCAACCCTTAGTGGAATTACATGCATGATATATATATATACATACACACATACACACATACATATATACAAACATACACGCACACACACATACATACACATACATACACACACACACACACACACATATTCCTGGTACCCTGAGTATGTGTCAATATACTGCCAATACTTCCTAATGTGATGCAGGTAACTGTTTGTATGATAATCTGTAGATTAAAGGTCTGAGCCTGCAAATATTTCATCTAGGTCCTATTCTGTAGCCTTCTCTGTCTGTTAAAAAGTGTTATGTGAAGGGCTCAATTGACCAAAGCCATGATGGGCAGAAGAAGTCAATATCTATGGGCCCATCTGGCGATGACCATATTATATAGAAGATTACAAATTGGAATGTAAAAGGAATAAATGGTAAAAAACACAAATGAAATTAAATAAATAAAGATAGGTCTCTTGTATATCAGTGAAACTAAGAAAAAGGGGAGAATGTAATAGGTGGCTTGACTCTGTGGAGTAGAATTCATGAATGCAGAGATGTAAAGGAGGAGGTTTAATTATGAATGAGAGGATGCAAATATATTGTCAGAAAGTATGAATAAGTGTTATCTAGGTTATTATTGGTGTGTGTAAAAGTAAAAATGATTGCATGGAGTTGATGAGATCCTCAAAAACAATAGGGTGAAAACGCAATTGTTTTAAGCAGCGTATGGACGTGGTCAAAGCAAAGATGATTTGCAAGGATAGAAAAGTATGGAAAAGAATAGAAACAGTACTGATATAAACTAGCTTTGACTATACATTATTTTTTTTCTTTCTTATCTCAGGTATCTACTTTATTTGGCTTACTATTTATTACTCCTTTTTTGTGCTTTCTATAGTGTTGCTTACCCAAAAAGGATAGGTATACATGTACATAACAAAACACAGTTGTGTGAATGAAATAATATATGAAAGACAATGTTACAAACAACAAAAGCATTTGGTTGATTCTCAAACATGCAAATGCCATCTCATCACTTAGAGGCCTAAAATATTTGTTTAAGAAATTTATATGGTCACCCAACTCAAACTCTGGAAAGCATGCAATAAGCAAACAACAAAATAAGCAAACAAGAAACCAACTATGGTTAAAATCACAACAACAGCAATTAATAGGCAACCAGGAACTCAAATTTGCCTTACACCATCCATGTGGTAGCTCCAATCATCCTGGCCCCAATGCCCAAGGAAAGGTACAATTTTCTAAAGGCCAACAGGGTGAGAGCCAATTGTATATTAAGGAGATTGTTCTAGAGGGCAGGGGCTACAGAGGAAAGGGCACCCTTCCTAGGTGCCATTAGATGACATTGCTTCAAGGAAGGGACCAAAGTGTGTCCATCCTACTAGAGTATGAGGGACAGAGTTGCTATAGGAGAAAAGTGGTTCTGCAAATAGGTCTATTCTATGCCATGTAGGGCTTTATAGGTGACAATCAGCACCTTGAATTGGATTTGGAAGTCTATTGGGAGTAAATGCAGCCAACAGATAGTGTTGGTATATGAGTATACTGAAGTGCACACTTAACTACCTGTGGATCTATTGTAGTGTCCATATGATTTTCAAGGGCAGCCCTATGTAGAGGGTGTTGCAGTACAGAGGTGACTAAGGCATGAGTAACAGGAAGCAAAACCTGATCCAGGAATGGTACAACTGGCACACAAAACAAAGTTATGCAAAAACCTTCCTGGCCACAGTTACCATCTATTCTTCAAGCAGGACCTGTAAGTCCAGAAGAACCCACAATTTATGCACTGGTTCTAAGTGGGGGAGTGCCACCCGCTCCAAAACCAAAAATGGAAAAACTTCAGGTGTGGGATCAGGAGAGCCCCAAAGCCACAGCCACTTGGTGTTTCTGGGATTTTGCTGAATCCTATTCTTCACAGTTCAGACCCCCACAGCCTCCAGACATGGATAGAACATGGACAGCATCATGTAGTTAGCTAGGGGCAGAGATAAATAACTGAGTATCACCAGCATATTATTACCTGTTAATGTCTTCCCACTTTGGGGAAAGCTCTGTGAAGTACCTGATGTACAGCTGTTCATTTGGATGTCTAAACTAATACTTGACTCTTGCAGAAATTCAGTGGGAAATTTGAGAAATAATATATGCTTGCTTGAAGGTGACAAGGCAAAACATCTAAATATTTTCAGGTTTTCTTCCAAAGCAGTTATATACATAATAAACACCCCAAAAACATCATGCTCACATTTGCTTGGACAATGACAAAATAGCGTGACTTTTCTTCATAATTTAATCTCTCACGCAAAACTATTGCTCCAGACAATGTCAAAGGGATGTCAAAAGTCCTATTTGATGTCTGCAAAAGAAAAAAAAAAGGAGGAGGAGGAGGGGGAGGATGGATAAAGAATTGCAGGAAATGATGAGTTAACAGTTTAAGATCAATGGCCAGTGGCAATTAATGACAATGCCTCTAGCTATAGAAAAATGCACATTACAAGTAGTCCCCAGTTTAAGAACAAGTTCTATTCCCAAGGTCTGTCCTTAAATTGAATTTGTATGCAAGCCAGAATGGTATTATCATATAATACTGTATAAGTAGTATTGTGTAATTAACTCAAACCATTGTGTATTCAACTCAAATCATTGTGTATTTAACTTGAATTTTGTTACAATAGACTTAGTTCTTAACTATCGGTTGTCCTTAAATCGGGAGTTCTTAACCTGGGGAGTATCTGTACTGCACTCATTCTACTTTTAACTATTAATCAGCTAGTTTTCACCCACACGAACAGGATGAATTTCTTAAAAAATAGGAAAATAGGAACTTCTATCGCATCTAAACATGTTTGGTGTTAACACTGCACTTAGCAAGTTTTTAAAAACTGGCACATTGGTAATGCTAAATTACATTCCAATGAAATAAAACTTCATTCTCAAAGATCGCAAGACAAAATACAACTGAGCTGTACCTTTCAACAATAAATGTGTAACTAAAACACTTCATGTTAGATACAAACAGAATTAAATAGAAGCAGAAGGGGATATAGTGACCTGATTGCAAATTGATAATAATAGCCAACTGTTGGAGAAATAGAGCCTGCTCACACAGCCTAACTCTATTATGATTATTGTATACTGCTGATGAGTGTTGAAAGTGAGACATGTAAATTGCTTCATTTTCCCCTTAAAAGCATATAAAACGGCCACTCCATCCCTGCACAATGTTACTTGAAAAATTTCAAGGACCTTTAGTTATGCAGAGAAATCTTTTTAAACATTGGTTCTTTATAGAAGACTGTGATTGGAAACATACATATATGAGGTCAGGAACAGTAGGCCCCCATGCAGTTAGGACCTTGAACATTATTGGACTAATGTAAGTGATGTTGATGGACATACACTCTTCACTAATTCAGCTGTAGATTCTTCCAATCTGATACAACATAAATAAAATCATGGCCTTTTCTTTGTTAAAATATTAATGCAAATGTTTCAGCAATGTGAAGAACTAGCAATCCTTTTCCCACGTATTTTCCTTCCTTTCTTTTGCCAATTACTGTGGCAATAAGTGTTTTATGGAAGCGATCAAGATTTACAGAGCAAAGACTATGAGCTGTCTGGAGTTCACAGGTTTCCAACTCCTCATTTAGTGACCTCAGTTAGCGACCATTCACAAATACGATAGTAACAAACTGTAGTAAAAACATCATTTTCCGACCAATGCATGTACTGCATGAAAATATGGCCATGCATGCTCAAATTTCTGTGCCTGACAACAATCCATGCTGGAGTAAGAATAATGCTGGCATTGCTGCATGAGAGAAATTTATCTGAATTAGACAGCAACCAGCAATCTTCTTAGTGTCTCTCTCTTTCTCTGTCACATGGTTTGCTTACCGACCATTTTGCTTAGTGATCATTTTGCTGGAACAAAATGTGGTCGCTAAATGAGGAGAGCATGTATCATAAAGTGACCTCCTTCAAAGTCATTCAAACTTTGTAACGGACCTGACTGGTATACCCAGATATGGATCTAACTCTTCATTAAAGCTGCATTCTAGCTTGAATACAGTAGAACTCATATTTATTTATTTAATACATTTATTTAATACATCTTACATACATGACTGAGCAGCTAACAATTAAAACCGAACAAAAACAACCAAAATTAAAAACAACAGAAATAGCATAAAAGTAGCAGCTAAGAACACTCATAAACACTCAAACTAACCACAAAATGGGCTCATCAACACGATCAGGGCCCTGGGCTTGATGGCAAAGCCAGGGTTTTAATCCCTTGCAAAAGGCCAGCAAGGTCAGGGGGTTGATGTTCTAGAGGGCAGGTGCCAGGGCAGAAAAGGCTGTCCTCCTGGGTCCTGACAGGTGACACTCTCTTGCAAATGGAACCCAGAGCATGCCTCTCCTGCCGGATCTAACAGGACAGGTAGAAGATATTGGTTAAATTAATCTACTTTGAGACCTCTCTAGCCTGCCTGATTCTATGGGATAAATTTACATCTTCATGGATAACTGGAATAATAACTTAAATTTCTGTGGGTTTTCTACTCACCTTCTAAGCTCATTTGGCTTTGAAAGAGCCTCAATGGAACTGAAACAGTGGATCATAGACCATAGATTATGGACAGAAAGATTTAAGTTTCAGCCCAAAATTGTATAGCACAATCTTATTTAGAAAGCTCTTCTCAGCAGCTTGTTACTTTACCAACATTCTTTGTCAAGTGCAAATAAGACTTTTTACATTAGCTAGATTCAGTATGCTGCCTTCATGACTATTGGGAGAGGAATTTAACTCCATCCTTTTGTTAGAAGGTCTCTGACCTTGTTTGCCCATGTCCTTCTTCACTACACCTTCTATTCAGTCTGGCACAGGGACTTAGTTATGCCCTAACTAACATGATCCTTCAGAATATGATCTTATCCTTATTATTTTAAAAGATATGTCATTGACAATCTCCAGAAGAGTGACCAAATTTAATTCATTCATCATAGTGTATGATTAAAACATCTTACACCAAACTTAATGAATCCCTTTGTTCAAAAATGGAAGTACTTTGCTATTTCCCATCATTACCTCTTTTAACAGCCAGTTTGGTATAGTGGTTAAAAGCATTGGACTGGAAAACTGGACATGAGTTCTAATCCCACCTTAGGCAAGGAGGTCAGCTGGGAGACTTTGGGCCTGTCATTCTCTCTCAGTCCTAGGAAAAAGATACTGGCAAGCTACTTCTGAAAGATGTTGCCAAGAAAACTATAGGGACTTGTTCCTGTAGTCACCAGGAGTCAGAATTGATTCAAAGAACCACATCACTTCTTCTAAGAATATTGCCTTGTCCATCCATAGCAGTCAGACAAAACCTGAGTTGAAAATACATTACAAAAAATGGTACACAACTCTTTCAAAGGATGTATAAATTAATAAAAGAATAAATTATGTAAACTCAATGAATTGTATTTTATTTTTGTTTCTTATTTCTTTCAACAATATATATTTACTGAAAATAAATTTCACATACTGGATCGCCGGGATTGTATTGGATGACGTACTCTATCTGGCCATTGGGACCATCATCTATGTCTGTGGCACCCCTGTTCCCAGAGAATCCTGTAAAGATGGTGGTTCCAACTGGTGTTAACTGAAACAACAAACATAAGATTCATGATTAAAAATCCTTGAAGGAAAGCCCAAATTCTGTATCCAAATGTTCCAAAGAATGCTGACAACTCTCCCAGTTGAAACAAGATTGTCAATAGCCATTTATAACTTAAATATACAGTACAGTATCCTTGAGGAAAAACAACTAAAAAAGCAAATAGGGAGAAAAATAGGAAGATGTGCTTTACTTAAAAATGACTCAGTTGCATTGCTTAGCTTACAAAAAATATACACATTTAAAAGGACAAGGTTAATTACCACAAACTTCCATTTTCCCACCCAAGCTAGTCATAGATAAGGCTTCATGGAGGAAAAAGGCACTCAGATTTAAACTTGCAAGGTAGCTGATACTAATAAGATAATGTGACCTTATCTTAGGCCTCCTAATTACAATTATTTAATCACCTCTCAGAGATGGGAACATGGATCAGCCTTTTGAACTACAATTTTCTGCAACTTTCACCATTGGTCATACTAACTAAGGTTGCTGGGAGTTGTAATTCATTAATATTGAATCAAAAAATCATAGATCTGAAAGGGACCATTTAGGCCATCAGTTCCAACCCTCTGTTCAGTTTAGGAATTGTGTGTAAAGCATTGTCAGGAGATGGCTAGAAAGCCTCTGCTTTGACCACTTGCAGTGAACAGAACCCACTGTCTCTCTAAGTACTTGATTCTGTCATCAAACTGCTCTTATAATAAGAATATTCTCCTTAGCATTCTCCTGGAACAAGTCCATTAATCTGTGTCATCCACTCTGGGACAACAGAGAATAAGCCATGGCCTTCTTTGGAGTGATAATCCTGAAAAATGTGAATATACCAAATTTTCTCAGTCTTAATCCTTCCCAAGTGCAGTGTCCAAAATTGAACTCAGTTCCTGAGATGAGGTCAGGCAAATGCAGAATAGAAGGAACATATTACTTCCCTTAATTTGGAAATAATGTTCTATTGATGCAATCTACATCCGCTGTTTTGCAGCCATGTTACCCTCATATTCAGTTTGTGAATAACTACAATCCCAATAGCCTTTTAAGAGATATTGTTGCCAAGCCAGGTATGTTCTATCATATGCTTGTATGCTTGATTAATTTTTCCTAAGTGAAGAATTTTACATTTTCAGCTCATTGTCCAAGTTCGTTTTGATATATGAGATAGGTCTTATAGGTTGATTTCAGTTTCCATCCGTTATCAACTTTCCTCTCATCTGGTAATCTGAAAAGCTTTCCCTCTATTTCACTGTATCTGGAGGGCCACATTCCTGTCCTTGCTTCTTTGAAAAACATTATCCATAGGAAATTTTTGGATATAGAAAAATTTAAAATCATACCCCACAACTATCAACTTCCCCACATAAATATTTAATATTTAAAATGGCACCTAGAAAGTGCTTATTAGAAAGAATTTTATCTGTTGTGCCAGCAGGGCCAAAGAAACTTTCGTTTTCTGAATCCCAAGGCGGCCATAATAAACTAAGATGAATTACATCAGTGGAAACATGTCTATCTCTATACACATTTTGCAAAGATAAGAACTCTGTAAGATATACAGTATGTAAGACTCAGAGTTGCTCTGAGTCTTACTTGCTTTCTTTTCTTTTTTAACTTTTTATATCCCATTTTCCATTTTTCCTTCACCACAATCTATTGTCTCTTTCTTTCTACTGTTACATAAAAATTACACAACAAATTCAGTAACAAATTCAATGGAACATATAGAGGATACTGATGTGCTTTGCTTTTATTCTTGTTCCTTGGCAAGTCAAGACACTAACTCTTATTTTGAAAACAAACATAATAAAGCTTAGGAATAGAGTGAAGTGTGTTTGCCAATGGTCCTTTGGAAAAATGTTGAAAGTGCATTGCTTATTTTTCAAAAAGCCAGTTATCATTACCCATACTGGGGGACAATTGTTTGCTTACCACTGGCTTTTGGCAGTAGATAAAGAGAAAAACATTTTCACATTTAAGGCAAACAATAGGTAGAGACACTTCTTTTTTTTCAAATAACTTTATTAGATTTTAAGATAGAAAGATTAAAAACTACAAAAACTAATATTTAAGATAGTGAGTAAAGAAAGAAAGAAGAATGAAAAAGAAGAAAAGGAACAAAGTCAAAAATGCATAAAGAAAAAGAAAAAGGAAGAAAGAGAAATACAAGAAAGAATGACTTCCAAATTTCCTTGCAACAGATATAAGTATACATTTACATCAAACTCTTACTCTAAGTTCACAAAATAACTTTCATTTTTTCTATTGCCCACTATTTTTCTAATCATCAGATCCATATATTATAATTTCACTTTTTTCTCTTTCACGCAAAAAGTCCAAAAAAGTCTTCCAATTAGCATCAAAATTACTCAATGTCTTTTCTCTAATCAAAACTGACAGTCTTGCCATCTCAGCCAACTCCATCAACTTCACCATTCATTATTCCACTGTAGGTAATGTCAAATCTTTCCACTTTTGTGGATATAAAAGACTCACTGCTATTATCATAAGTAGAAACAAAGTTCCATGAGTTTTTCCCAGCTGTTTGTCTGTCAATATGTAGAGTGACTTCTGACATTTCTCCCCTCCCTCTTTCTTCTGCAGTTCTAATTAATTAGTTAATGGTTTTCATAACTATACCCCATGGAGATTATTATTATATGGTCATCACATAAAAGTTCTTGGTTTCACAAATCAGATGAAGAACTTAAAAATGATTTAAGAACACAGTTATTTGAGACATTAATACTGATTAAATATATATAAGAACAGAGGTCTTGTGTTGATGTCTTAGCTTAACTAAGTTAGTGTTGATGAAAAGAAAAAGAAGTAGCAGAGCTATTAGTAGAACCATCTTGCCTTAGCTTGATTTTGATAAAGGGTGGCAGCTTTTATAAAACAGTTATTTAGAGAAGGAAAGTGGTAAGTTCACTAGTGCTCGCTTCGGCAGCACAGATACTAAATTGGTAAGTTCACTAGAGCAAATAGGAGAGGAATTTCCCAACTTAGGATCTGAAAAGTTCCAGAACAAGTCCTACAGCTCCAGAATAATAGATGAGCTGTTGAGCAAAATGCTGAAAAGTAGGGAAAACTGATGGCTGTTATATTAAAACTGAAGCTTAATGGTTTTGATATACAATTCTTATAGGGAATCCTTAAGAATGGACCTTAAGAACAAATCCTCCACTAGGAAAACATTGTTTGTTTTAGAAAAACTGTAATTCATAGTCCTCAAATGGTAATATTATTTTTATTATTTAAATATATATAGTTTCACATATATCACACATACTTCTCCCTATCACCTTTCTAGATAATAACCTGGAAGGGAAACTATTTTATCACCTGTTATTGCCTTAGAAATATTTGTAAGTGAATGTAGTTTAATATCTTACCTTCAAATTAGTTTTTAGGTAATCAGCAAGCTGGTTCATGTACACCAAGTTCTATCTTCCATGTTTCATAATTTGATGAAAAATTCCTAATTTATTTTGAGTAAATACACAAACTTCCTCAATTAAAATATACTTATGATTATATCATAAAACACTTACTTATGCAACTCGTTGCTTCATATTAGTGTCACGAAATGCAATATATGAATCCTATTTTGAAGACCCTAACCAAAAGTTGCTGGTTTTCTTCCTTGACTCAGTACTGTCTCAATCAATTGTATTTAAAACATCTTTAAAGATACATAGTGTTCAGAAATGTATAAATGCATGTGACAGTGGTAATGTCATTTAATTTTGGAAATCAGAAAAAAAAAATATCCAGCAAATGCTATGGAAGGATTAAAACTCTACATAAAGCAGCAGAGGAAAGCTGAACCACTTCAGATCAATTCAAACCTTTATTATGGTCAAATGACCAGAAGTCAAATACAGATAAAACAAATTAGATATGTATGCTGGTATGTATGTGTATGCACACACACAAAAGGGTGTGCGTGTGTATCTATACTTACAAGTCTTATAGACAATTTATTATATAAATTACATTAAATGTTTAAATTGGTTGCCATTTTCTTTTAAACATTTATTTACTCATTTAATGCATGACAGTCCTTTTTTTAAAAGAAGTTTTTATTGAAGAAATTTTTAACAAGGTAAAAACAATACAAATATTAGAAAAGAAACAAAAGAAAACAAAGAATAGTGAATGAAGAAGAAGAAGAGGAGGAGGAGGAGGAGGAGGAAGAGGCGGCGGCAGCAGCAGCAGCAGCAGCAGCAGCAGCAGCTTCCAATCTTTTTGTCAGCAGTTATAAATGCATTTATATTTGACTCTCTCTCTCTAAGGTTACATCATGATTTCCTTCTTTCCATAAGCTACCCTTTCTAATCTTCAAACCCATAAATCACAAGTTCATTTTTCTCTTTTTTCAGCAACAAGTCCATAAGGGGTTTCCAGTCACTATCTTCAAACCCATAAATCACAAGTTCATTTTTCTCTTTTTTCAGCAACAAGTCCATAAGGGGTTTCCAGTCACTATCTTCAAACCCATAAATCACAAGTTCATTTTTCTCTTTTTTCAGCAAAAAGTCCATAAGGGGTTTCCAGTCACTGGCAAATGTAGTTGTTGATCTTTCTCTAATCAAACAAGTTAATTTTGCCATCTCTGCGAGTTCTGTCAAATTCACCAACCATACCACTGTTGTGGGCACAGGTAGTCCTCGACTTATGACCATTTGTTTAACAAGCATTTGAAGTTATGATGGTGCTGAAAAAAGTGACTTACGACAGGTCCTTGCACTTAGGACTGTCACAGTGTCCCTGTGATCATGTGATCAAAATTCAGGTGCTTGGCAACCAGCATATATTTATGACGGTTTCAGGGTCCTGGGGTCATGTGATTGTCATTTACAATCTTCCCAGGGGGCTTATGACAAGCAAAGTCAATGGGGAAGCTGGACTCGCTTAATGACTGTGTGATTCATTTAACAACCATGGTGATTCACTTAATGACCATGGCAAAAAAGGTTGTAAAATTG